ATAAGTGGAGAATCACTTCTGTAAACAGCAGGAGCTGTTGAGGATGCTGTGCATCCATAAGTCTCGGGGAGCAGAGCCAGCTGAAATGCCCTGGGGCATTTGCTCTTCTCTGCCTCTTTTTTCCATCCCTGTGAAAGAGGTGAGCGGTACAACTAATAAAAGAGTTTTTCTGGAACAGCTTCCTGTAAGTGCAGTTTCACTGAGACTGAGAAGTTTTGGGGGCAATATGCCAGCCCCCTATAGAAGAAATATTATGTTGAGCTTTTTGGCTTTCATGTTTGTAGTTTAATATTTCTGAAAATTTTTCTTCTATATGGCAAAAATGCCTTTATAATGTTCATTTCATATTTATTTAAATTTCCTTAAAATTGTTCAGTACTGTGTTCACACTAGTTGTGTTTATATTACATTCTATGTTAACACTCAAAATAATACATTTTGCCTTCTTTGAATTTATTTCAATGAGTGAAAAAGATGTTCTAGAGTTATTGAACCATATGTTTCAATACTTGCAATGTGTTTCTTTTTAATTTCTATTTCATGAGTTCTTTTTATCATTTGTTCTGACTTGGAACAAAAATTAAGAATTTAGGAAGTGCTGCAAAAATTCCCAACAACTATAGAGAATGCATAAGGATACAGAAACTCTCTCACTTCTGCTCACACATCCAGTTCCTCTGTGAGGTGCACCAACAGGGAAGCAGCTCGTTCCTTCCTTTCACTTTGCGTTGTGCCTGTAAAAAAACCTATGCAGTTTAGAATGTGTTTGATCAGGAGCCTGTTTACAAAATAAGTGTCTTCTAACCTCTGCTGTAAGTCATGCTAGATGATTTTTCTGTTTCTGAAGCACTTGGAGCCAATGTTTCCTCTTTGAAAGCCTGTACTTGGCATTGATTCCCCCATAGTGAACAAGTGGTCATTTAGGGATCCTTTTTTTTTTGTACCATTTTTAATATTCCATCTATAAACTAATTTGGCTGTACATTCCCACTGCTTAATCTCTTCTAACCATGAATGTCCCATATATGCAAGGTTACAAAACTAAGAAGTAACACCTTCTAATACAAGACCTTCAACAACTGACCCTGTAGCTATGCAAGATCTTCTCTTTCTACAGACTTTTAATTATCTCTTCAGTAAGTAGTCTTTTGAATGATCTTTAGTATTTCTTAATTTCTCTCTGCTGGGTGCCATTTCCTGCTGTTTTACAGGAGAATTTTAAAATGCCCTAAAGTTCCTTCAATGTTTATATGTCTGTGAACAATCCATACTCATAATACTCATCAAAATGCCTAGAATTCAACAGTGAGTGTCTACTTTAGAGGTATTAAACAATTATAAAATAAATTCCCTGGAAGGTGTGGATGTTGAGTGTGTGATTATTGAAGATATTCCTGACTACTTATCCAAAGACACTCAGAGTTTGATCCTCTATCTGCCTTGGCTCTGTGGCATACAGCTACCACAGAAGCCCAGCAAAGAGTTCCCTCAAAAAGGGGAACCATTTGTATTTTTCTGTGCCAGATCTTCATTTTATGCACATCTCCTGCCAAGGAAAGACTATAGCAGGGGATATCAGGGAAAAGCCACAGTGTGAAATCACCGAGTGCCAGTGATGTGCTACAAGGTACATTGACCATCCCAAGCCCAGACTTTAGACTCCCAGTCAGTATTGGTCATGTCGTGCGAAGGGCTGGCTCTCAGACCCAGCAGCAAGAGAGGTTTTACTCTACCTTCTGGTCCAATGATCTGATAGACTAGAAGTATTATCTCCCATGCCTTCATCCAAGAAGACAACTAGAATAAAAATGCTACCGATCCATTAGGGCCATTTATTATACTACCTGAAATGGCAGCAAAAGCCAATGAGTTCTCTGGAAAGCACTCAAGATACACTGCTTGAGTGTCACTGCTTTACACAGAAAAGTCTTCTGAATGTGCTTTTCCTCAAGTTGGACCTGTATTCTCATCTCTTCCTATTGAGAAATCATCCTTTGGCAAAGACAGTTGGAGAGTCTCCCAGTCTGCCTTTAACTTCATTCATCTTTCATTCCTCACTGGAACTCCAAAAGTTTACTTTTTATGAAAGGAAAAATTGGATCTTTTCTCCCTTCTGACAACTGCAGATCCTGTAATACACATCCAATTGCCCCTCTCTTATCTGGGTCAGCTGCTGGGAGACCTCTGGAACTCAGAGATCCTCCCTCATAATTTTTCCTGTTGTTCTATCAGATGAAAAAAAATTGAATTGGGCACTGAAGTTCAGATTCTGTAGGTCAGGTTTGAATTAATTGCCTCAGGGGTCATATTTTACAAATGAAACAAGAATACATACCTTAAGTGATGAGTCATATGCATTGTGCAATGGATTATTATTCCCTTTGGAATTTATTTATGCTTGTGAAATGTACCATAATTTTTATCTTTTCTTCCTCACAGTCTTCAGATGTAGATTATAGTCACGAGAAGAATGTAGGCTTAGCTTTTAAAGTGAATGTACTTTAAAGCTTAATTAAATAAAAGTTAAAGGTGCTGGGTGATAGGCAGTATTTTAATTGAGAAGGCAATAGATTGAATTAGGATTTTTTTCTTAGAGATCCTCAATCCAATATTTCATGAAAACCAAACTGTCATATTCTTCAATTGCTAAAACCAATTTCAAGGTAAAAATGTCATGTCAAACCATGTACCAATAAGGGCATTGCAAATAAGATTTTTCTTGACCTTACCAATCAGTCACATTGCATCCCTTCCAAAGAGTATTATTAGATTTTTATCATTTTCTGAAAGCTTCTGCTTCAGAGACCAGCCTGATAAAGTAAAGTACTGATTCTAATAGATAGCCACAAACAAAGTTATGAATACCACCGCTATTAATTTAAGGGACATCACTACTCTGCAGTAGATAAAGAGTCTTATGAATTTACATTAATCAAATAAATATAATGATTATTTGGGACATACTTAGCTTCATAATTATATATATTTTAGTAATCCCGTTTTAGAATCGACACAATATGATAGGTAACCTTACAAACATTCATATATCATGGAAAAGTATGGCTTGATCATCCATTATACTAATGACACATCTTATTATTACCATACTAATTCAAATTAATTTCTAGATCCATGTAATAGAACAAAGCCTGGTGTATAACAAGGTATTCAAAAGAAGAACAGTCTAATACTGTAAGCAAATGGAGCAAAAATCTGCCTTTGTCTTGTGTCCCACAGTTTACCATACTGTCATGGGACTTGCACAACTATTTCTGAATTTCTGCTAGGAATCTAAATGGCCAGTTAGATACACAGGTGCAAGTCCCATTAGCATCACTAAGAACTGCACCAAGTTATTTAACTGAGTGCCGAACTCACAGCTCACAGACACGTAAGAGCTCTAAAACTGAAGTGCTCAGAACACTGAAAATTTTTCCCTTGGCAGATTCAAGATTTAACAATAGTACTCATAGAAACATAAATACCTGTGGTGATAACAAAAAGTGCTGATTTGTAGACAGCTGATTTAATATAACTGATATAGCCTGAACAGTTATGTCACTGATTTGAAACAGCAAAATAACATTGCATTAATTTAAACTAATTTCACAGCTCCTTCAGGCAGCATTATATAATAAGAACCAATTTAATTTGAAAAACAAAACAGAAAAACATACATTTTGACCTTCTCTGGATGCACAAAGGTATTTGACAGGATTGTTGATTTTCCAGGAAAGTCTCTTGTAGAACAGATGTAAGATTTATGATGACTAAGAGCTTAGCCCCGTTCTTACTGTGGCACATGTCCATCCCAGTATTTATATTTTTTTAAAAAAGAAAAAAATTAATCTGCTCTCAGGGCACAGTGTACAGGGAACTACTTACAGAAGGTTTATACAGTTGGAAGAGAAATACATCTGTGGAGTTGAAGTAACTCTGTTTGTGCCAGAAGTTCTTCAACCATATCCATGGTAGGCAGCATGAAAGGGAGGCACAGAGAAGGGAGTACACGATACAATCACAAACAAACCACACTGCAGTTGGTGTGATGCTGCCCAGCACCCACCATGCCTCCTGCTGATGCTTGTAGATGTGCTGTTGATACTATAAGCAGAGTAGTCCTGTAGAAAGCCTCACATTCAAGAGAGAGTTGACTCTTCTAGAGCACTGTTAATCTAATTAAAGCTGTTGTCTAAAATGGATCAGATGAAACCCCTTCTAGGTGAGCTTTTGTCCCTCTGTCAACTGTAAATGTGATTTAGACAAGTCCTGTGTCAAGGCAGTGTGGGATAGAGAGAAGCGCCATGGCCAGACATTTCAGTAAGCAACAAGTGACACACACCTGGGGCCTTACATATACATTTTTAGAAAGAAGATGCACTTTGCTGAGTTTTTGTGGCCCAGGATCCACAGTGGCTTTGGCTCTAAAGCGCTTTCTCACAGAGTCCATAGTGCCTTTCTGGAAACATAGCGAATTAGCTATGCCATGGGTAAACACTGCTTTACTTCTGTTTTCCACTGTTTCAGTCAAATTTGTTAGCTTTTACCTTGTCCTCTGGTCTCTTACTGTTGCTCTGGTAGTGAAAAAGGAAGAGAAATCCATGTGGCAGTCACTGTGACATAGGCTGGGTAAGCTGAACCATGCCTGCTCAGTACATCAGGCTAGCCTCCTGATGGTCCTTGGCTTTGGAAATCATTTTCCATTAATTATCTGCAAAATATTTACTTTAAAGTGCTGTGAACAATCAGGCCAGGAAGCTTGTTTACTTGAACATTTCCTCAACAAGAGTGCAAACACCATTGACGTGAAGTTTTTATACTTTTCTCCCAGCTCTACATAAATGCTGTGTTGCGCTGATGAGGATTTTGCTTTGGTTAAAGAAGAACAAGACCCTTGGTGTTTATTTTTTCAGTATTTGTGTATTGTTAAAGAAAGTTACGTTAATCACTAACTTCCTATGCATGTACGTACTACAATTACCTCTTTTTTTTTCTTATAGGCATGTAGCCACCGCTCTAGCTCAGAGATAATCTGCTGTACAACACCTTCACTGAAAGTTTTCAATCTCCAACCACCCTTTGTAACCAAAGTGTTCTTTATTTTTGATGGTGTCAGCTCCCTGTACTTTGATTTTGATTATGTAAATAATCCAGTATTTAAGCATTTTGAAAAGCCAGTGTTCATCTCAAGAGGCAACCAAAATGTTCTGGAAATTAAGGTAAGAAATGCTGAAATAAGTTTTTCAATTATTCACAAGTGCACATCAGCAGCACAGTGTGGAACAGACATTTTGATGACATAAGCCCCAAGGAAGCAAGGGCGGAGAGAGCTCTGTGTTTGGTACTGCATTCACCCAAGCCCCCAGTTGTCACAATTTAAAAGATGCAGAGCTGAAAACAAAGATATATATACCAGGGTGGTTGGCATCAGGTGGAGTTGGAGAGGGGCTTTCCTCGTCCTCGTGGGAGGACCACGCTGCATCAGCTTCTGATTGCAATGAGCTGCGTCACCAGTTCAGGATTAAACATGGCCAGCAGCCCAGAGCCTGAAGTATGTGGCCTGCGCCCGAGTCCCAGCTCGTACTGTCACATGGTTTTGTGTCCTTCCTCACAGAAGATGTGGCCTAGCAGCTTTGGCTCTCTTGAGCTGAGGGAAACTCTGGCCTGTGCACAAAGTCACTCATGAGGATCAGTCACTGCTGTAGCCTAAATATTTATGGACCCGTGAAAAATGCAAAGTTGGTGATGAATGCCTCTTCAAAGAGCGTTGAGAGTAGCCTACATGGCACTGAGAAACATCTCTTAGGAATTTGGGGCCCTTACAGGCACAGGCTGCTCTCTACTACAGTACTGCGAAGAAAGTTAAATCAATTTTGTGTGAGTCCAATTTTTTGAAATCTAATGCTTTTCTGAGTTTAGATTAATCAAATAGAAAAGGTATAAATATGGGTATTTCTAGTTTACAATGAATGCTTATGAAAATCTGTTGTAAAGTACACATAATTTATATAAATTTCTATAATTTATATAGAATATAATTGATAAAAAATGCTTTATGGAAGAGAATCAGTCTTAATGCTTGGGTCATCTCTTTGTGTAGCTCCTGCATAGCTCTGTAAGCCAAAACTCTTTTCCCCTATCACAATGAAGAAATCTTGATAGCCTGAGGTCTTTGACTCCCAAGATGGTCCAGTGGGCCAGCTTCTGGGCTGCCAGACATCAGAAGGATCACTGCAGAGCTCCTGTCAGCCATGCTGACTTCCAGTCAAACTCTGAATATTAATCTTCCTCTGCAAAGTGTTTTGGACAAATACCAAAGAATAATTGGTCTGATTTTTATTTTTTAATTTTGTTTTTCTACTTGGAGCTCTTGGCCATACAATCACTCCTTCCTCAATGCAGAGCAGTTCTCATGTTTAGTTTTGGAGGAATGCTGGATAGAGTTCTGGTGTGTGGGTCAACGGAGATCTGGGAATATAGAGCTGCTGCATGGCTCAGTGCCTCTGTGCAATGACAGCAGTGTTTTCCAGTATTTTCCAGGTCATGCATATCAACCAGTTGGAAAGAGTACTAATTTGAGAAGAATCGTAGAATAACATAGATTGGAAGGAACCTCTGGAGATCTTCATAGTCTAACTCTGTTGCTCAAAACAGGGCTAAGTTAAAAATCAGGTCAGGTTGCCTATGGCCTTATCTAGATGAGTTTTGAAACTCTCCAAGAATGGAGATTTTACAGCTTTAAAAAACCCAGCTCCACTAGCCTTGCATTGTGTATCCTGTGCTTCAGCTCCCCTTCTAGCTCAGTGGCCCTCTGCTGTACTTCATCCAGTTTGTCAGTATCTCTCTTATTCGATGGGGTTAAAAACTTGACACAATTCTCCAGGTGTGGCCTTACAAGTGCTGACCAAAGCAGAACAATCACCTTCAAGCTTTGCTGCTGCTAAAATGTGTACTGAGCCTTCATCACTACAGTGGCATACTGCTGCCTTATTTCACATTATGACCCAGTATATCAGTGATTTTCCTAAACTTGTTGTCATCTGAAAGCTCAAAGAAGCACATTCTATCCCTTTGTTCAGGTTGTCAATAAAGATTCAATTAGTGTTGGTCTCAGTATCAGCCTTTGACAAATGCCACGTGTTAGACTTTTAAGGTTTGACCTATGTCAAGTAGGTTTTTCATTCACCTTATAGACCATCTATCCAGTTCATACCATCCTAATTTGTTTTCATTGCTAGGAGAGATTGTGTTGCAAAACTTGCTAAAATGAGGATCCTTTTGTCCAGTGCTCATCTTTCATCTACAGAACCTGTCATCTCTGCATAGAAGGCTGGTCAGACAAAATCCACCTGTGCTGGTGGTTCCCAATTACTGTTTTGTCCTTACTCTGCCTGGAAGGGCTTCCCTGAGGACTTGCTCCATAATCTTCACAGAGACTGAGAGTTAAAAACTAGTTGGGTTTTTTAACTTCCTTCTCTTTTACTTGTGAACTTTGTATTCTCCCTGAGGAAAAAGTCTCTGGTACTGTTTTATTGCTGGGAAGAAGCCATTTAGATGGGAAAGGCTGACTGAGGACTGTCCTAGTGACCAAACTCACAATTTTGTGGCATCGACCTGTAGTCATGGCACCCAAGACAGATGTCTCCCTAAGTCTAATGTCCTGGTTATTTCCTAGCAACCATCTGGAGAATAGCATTAGTGAAAACTGGTCTCCTGGAATGAAGCATGGACAAGCACCAATTTAACATCTTCCTCTAAATAGAATTAGTTATAGTGGGGTGCTTCTATCAAAACAGTGAGGCAACTTTCATAAATTATAGTCAGGAGCCAAAAGATCATTACAAGCCATATTGGCAACACTTTTCCCTCACCCCGTACCCACATTCAAAAATACACACAAGTTGACATGCCTCATGATTGTATTTTGTGCAGTAATTAAGCAAGCTCAGCATGAAATTAAATGGCAGCTTGCTTCAGCGAACAGTCTGTTCTACCAAACCAAAGTTCTTTTATCTCTTTCTTAATTAGTTTCAGGGGGGCGGAGGGAGCTTTTATCACAAGTTTTTCAATCTAACTAATCTAGTGTGACATATTTGGCTTTCATCAAATGACAGTGGGTACCGATTGAAAGGTTCTATTTGGTTTCCCCTGATGACCACAAGATGTTTTTGTAAGAAAATGTTACACACAAGAAAACTTTAGGTCTTCTATTTTAAACACAGGTCACTGTGTGCCACAAATACCAAACCTCCTTGTCTTCAGTGCCAGCCACTCAAGGTCCTACATCATCACTCTCTTCCTCTGCCAAGTATGTGGGTCTTTGAAGTTGCTTGGTGCCCACCATCCCCCAGTCAGAGGGGTCGTGACAGAGTGGCTTGAGACACTTCTCTGATTCAACACCATGAAGACCTCCCATCTCCTGCCAACATGGGAAGCTGTCAGGGAGGGAGAAATTCTGGTGTTTCACTGCTGGGGACAGTGAAACACCTGAGTCTGTTGAAGAGGACAGAGTATACTTGCTGCCTCTGGCAGAAGCCACTGACCCGGACCTGGAAGCTGGGCTGTTGCAAACCCAGTGCATCCTGGCTGTGAAAAAAACCCAATAAGAAAAGAAACTCTGTCTTTCCTCAGTCTGCCCAAAGCCTGTCCTGTTCTAGGGTGTGCTTATGCACTAAGCTGGTGCAGGGACTTTGTGCATTATTCCAGAGGACGCCTAGGCATAGACCACCAGTAAGTAAAGTGTATTCATAAATATAAATCTTCCACTAGAGAAATACGTAACAACTGGCATGTTACACAACACATCTGAGATCTTGGCTGTCCTCTGGCCCTTTTGTATTAAAACTCCAAGGAGGACAAGATTTACTAAATTGCCCACTCTATTCCTAAGCCAGTGCAACACATTCTTTATAAGACAATCTTAAGAAACTCTTCTTGCCTATTTACAGGTCACTGTATTGTCAGTCTTCTTCCATCACATAGGAAATTATGTTAGTCTCAATATCTGGTCCAAAAGAGAGCAGTATGGAAACCATGGTATTTTTGAGCAAGCTGAAGAGGAACCTCTGCAGCTGCAGTCACTCCTCATTCTTCCCAAGTAAACCCTTTCTCTCTGCTTAGGAACCTCAGAAATTCTTCTGACACGAATCTGAAAATTTCCACACCTTAGTTTACGGTTCTTCTACTGCTTCTAGACTTCTACCCAAAGTATTCCCAACTCTCTAAAGTTGTGAGGTGATTGAGCTATCAGATTGGTTTGCAACAGCTACTCAGTCCAGTAATGAACTTCTCCAGCTTGCATGCAAGGGCATTGCTCACCAAGAAGGGGCAGTACACATTTTAAAAGAGGACGTATTTTTTCCCAGTTCTCACAGGAGCCAGTTTCCGCCTTCTCTTAAAATTTTAGGCAAATTCTGTTGTCCTGGAAGAGCAAAACCACTGCTGAGTTTTGAAACTCCTAATATATTGAGTTATCCTAAATGAAACTATAATATACTAATGGTAACATAATGGTAATAATATTAAGTAAAAACTACCATCATCTTTATAACTGGCTAAGGATCACCTTAGGAAACATCAGTAGGATTTCTTGTCCATTTGGGTATCAGTTTTGATGGTGCAAAAAATTCCAAGCTATGGTGTAGAAGAATCATAGAATCACTCTCCAAGACAATATATTTATCCTGAAGATGAAAAACTTAAATTCAAGTCTTTTGAGGAACATCATTCAAAGGAAAGATTTGAACATGAATGGCTCACAATCTGCAGCAAGTCTCCATACTACTATGCAATAAGCAGTCAGTCACATGCTCTTTGGCCCATTGAATATTTACTTAACATCAAACAGAATGTTTCCAAGTAGACAGAGGATAGAGTGCAAAATGGACTTCTATGGACAGCAATTAAAAAGCATTTACCTGGGGTGTGTCTTTGCCAGTCAAAATAGGACATTAAGCTGGCTCTCCTCTATGTTTATTACAATTTCCCCAGGGTTGAGTCTCATTCTGCAGTAAATCTAAAATGCCAAAGTAAGATTTTTTTGCCCCTCAGAATGGAATTCTTGTTTCCTTTCCAATATACAAGGTCCCATAGCCGTGTCAGCTGCAGTGCCTTCTCTTCCTTCTCATGGAAAACTCCCAGATCCAGCTCACGTAAATAGCCTGTATTAGTCCCACACTCCTTTCTCCCCTTCTAATCCTGCTTAATATACCTCTTTGTTCATATTAAGTCAGGTTGTACATGGGGTAGGGCAGCTTCTTAAATTCTGATGCACTCCTGAGCACAAAAGATGCTGAACTTGGCCTTTGAATGCCACTATCACAATACTGGAATAATACAGTGAATAATTTTTCATCCAAGTGTGGGATATTGTAGCAGGTGTTCTGAGTAGGGACTGCACTTTTCATGCTCTCGTCTTTACCAAGGTTTATTCCTTTTTGGTCTGTGGAACATGATTTTAACAGATTTGTGTATTATTACAATTAATGACTTCTTTTTGAAAGTTTCACTACTGCTACCATAACCACTTGCAGAACAAAATGTTTGAGATGCCTTTAGCTTGTGGATAATATAACGCCAGTTTTGTGTAAACAACAGCGTTACATAATACGTCCTTTCTTGAGCAAATTATGCAAAAATCTAAACAGGACCAACAGGATTAATCCCTCAGACATTTACATTTTTAGAGGCCTGTATGGGCTGTATGAGTATTAGTGACAGCAGAATTTATCTGTAAATTTTATCATCCCTCTCTGGCCTGTCTGTCAAAGTACCGTTTACATGAAAAAAAGTTATACATGCCTGTTGACAGGACAGTGTAAATTTGCATTGGTCTTTTATTTCTCAATTGTTTTTCCATTAAAAACATTTTCCAAGCTTGTAACTCCTTAACTTTTATGAGATGGTTATGTAATATAAAATTGATTTTTTTTTTTCCAAGGGAAATTATATTGATTCAGAAGCTGTTAAAGGAGAGGTGCTAAAAGTTGGAAATAAAAGCTGCGAAAACCTCCTCCTGCAGTCAGAATCAATTCTGTGTACGGTTCCCAGTGATCTCCTGAAATCCAACAGTGAGCTAAATATAGAGGTGAGGCAACTACACCACACATGAGATATTAATGCCATTTTTATTATCATTCGCAGTGTCACTATTGAACCAAGAAACTTTAAGTTTAAGCCTAAACCTGTGCTTACAGAGATATCTCTATCCATGTTTGTTTGGGATGGAAATTCAAATAATATCAGCTGTTTTAAAATAAATATTGTCTTCATTGTAGTTATTACCTGTTTGTAGAGAGAGTTTCTGGAGGCTTCGGCACAAAGTAGAACTTGAACTAAGCACGGAAATAAAATTATAGCTATTAATCCAAACACAAGAGGAAACATATGGGGAAGAATGGGAAGCTATAAAGGAGTAGGTTTAGTTTGGAACTCATAAGCCCTTTTTTCAACAAAAAATTTTGCTGCAGTCAAGAGGATCACATCCTTCCTGAAAGATTTTTTTTTTTGTCTGCATTTTATAATTTCATTTCAATTCTTTTCGTAAGAAGAAAACACTTTGGACAAAAGTTTGAGTTGACCATTTTTCTAAAGGTGATCATACAGTGTGCTATTGCAAATTTAAATTGTAGACATACTGATTCATAGAATAAGACAGATCTTTCAGCATCTTTGTATTTTTTAAATATATAAAAAAAGGAAAATCCCAGTGGAATAGGAATACCTTTAAACTATGAAACTGAACTGTGATTCACTGAAAACAGTGAATGTAAGTCTGATGAGGATCAAAGTCTAGGTAAGCTCTTTGGAGCAGGGACCATCTATTTTTTCTATATCTTTATGGCATTTATCTCAACAGGATCCTGAGCTGTGAATTATATTCCTATTTGCTACTGCAGTCTAAGTAAATAGTAATAACTCATTTATTAATATAGTAACTATTAATTTATTTTAATATTAATTTATTTTTAAAGTAATTATTAAATTTCTTGAATACATCACTCAAACTATAAAATTAGATGCAGCTCTTCTTTTGGTGTATGTTTCCCAGAACTGTAAGTGCCTAGTTTCATATGATACTTTTGCACAGGTTGCATTTGGTTCGTATTTTCACATATGCAACCAGAGCTGACACTACATTTCACCAGTTCTACTATGTGATATTTCATTAAACGCTAAGAAATAGATATGCATGACAGGTTTCATACATAGAAAAGAACAAAACATAAAGGGGTTAAGTAAGGTTTTTGCTTGTTTACTGGCAAGGAGACACAGAAATTGCAGTCTGCCCAGTGAAGAAGAAAATTTGCTCTTTTGACGGGCAAATCCATCATTACAGTACCCAGAGGAATGAATTCCACAGGAGGAAGAGAAAAGATGGCCAAACGCATTCCAACTGACTGAGCTAGTGCTGTGTGACCTAAAACAGTTTTTCCCTGTTAGCTGCTTGATGTTTGTTTGGTGGTTGATTTTTGGGGTTGGTGTTTTTTTTGGTTTGTTTTGTTTCTTTAAACTGTCAACAAGCTAGAAGCTGGCTAGGGACAGGCTCACATGACCTTGGGAACTAAAACGTAGGCACGCTGTCAACAAATGAGTGAGTTTGATGTTACAGCATATTTATGCCAGAAGGACACATATTAAATACAGTTGGGCTGGTTTTTTTAATGTACATCTCAGCCCATATATCCATAGGCCCATACATTTCCATGTACCATTTGAGTAAGAGTATGAATTTAAAATTTTGAATTAACATCTGGTAACAGTGGGACCCTGTTACCCAGAGTGTGTGTGAGTGCATGCCATGTGTGTGGTGTATCAAATACACAGCTGTATCACTACCAGAGCTCTTGAAGTTGAGTAATGAAGTGAGAAACATGTAGATCTGCTTTCATGTACAGCAGTATAACAATTTCTTCACTCCCAGTGTCTTATCACAGTACAGCATCACAAAATCAAAGTTTAGTTAGATGGGACATATCAGCTCATACTTTAGTACTAATAATCTAGTTCTTACTTGTCTGTGGAAATCATCACACTATTTTCTTTCTTTGTTATTTCAGTGGAAGCAAGAAGTTTTATCAACAGTTATCGGAAAAGTGCTGATCCAGCAAGATCAGAATTTCACAGGACTAATTGCTGGAGTACTTTCAACATCAGTTTTACTTTTTATCTTTTTGGTGTTTTTTCTCTGGAGAAGGAAGAAGAAACAAATTAAAGGTCCATCATAGTCAATCTCATCAAATAAGTCCATTATTATGTCTTAGATTTTTAAAAATTACATAATTTTGTGCTTTGCTTAACTACCATGCAATGCCCTGTTGTAATGCATCAGCAGACGTTTCACAATCAAGTCACAATGTTTAGTTGCATGTCAGTGCTTGGCTCTTGCCTGAGCTGGGTGAAGGGGTACATTATGCCTTAAGCAGAAGGATTTCGGAGGAACTCTAAGCTATTAGGAAAACTTAGTAACTTCTGTTCCCCGATCAGCTTTGGAAGAGAGGACGAGTAAATGATACGTATGGAATCACGAGTACTTCAGCTTCATCCAGTTGTCTTGTAGTCCTCCAGGCTGTGCCTGAGTTGTGCAAGACACAGAGCACTGCAGTGTCCTGGTCTCTTGTTCACCCAGATCAGGAACTTAGTCAGACCCTGGCTCCTCTCTGGCCCCTGTGTCTGGGTTTACTTCCAGTGGGAGCTGCCACACTGTGCAAGGCAGGAGGAGCAGGGGAGGTAGTATATAACCAAGTTTTGTTCTGATGCAGTATCACAGTCAGACCATGAAGGTGGCCCTAGAGGCTTCCAAACTTCCAGTGTGGCTAAGAGTGGGTCTTCAAAAAAGTTGCAGCAAATCTTGTGCTGTACAAATAGCTCAAGTTCAGGTCCTGATCATGTCTGCCACAGCAACACCCTGCCTTCTTCCCAGCAGAGCAGAACATCTAGGTTTAAATAAATAGCTAAATGAATATTGGCAAACCAAAACCATGAGGGTTTTCTAGTGTTTCTTTCTTCTCCCCTTCAGATCTGGGAAGCGACCTAGTGCGTTATGATGGCAGAGTGCACACTCCTCACCTGGACAGGCTGGTGAGCGCAAGGAGTGTAAGTCCAACAACAGAAATGGTTTCAAGTGAATCTGTAGACTACAGATCAACTTTTCTAGAAGGTACACCTCTATTAGGAATCTGTACAGATGATATTTTATACATTTTGATTTTCATATGTCTTCAGATGATAGCTATTTTGATCAGCATCTTAATTTCAATTTGTCATCTAGTTTGTCTGTGTCTGCATTAGTGGGACTTCTGTGTTCACAGGCTTGCTATTTTAACTGAACTTCTCAGGTGCTTCCCAAAACTAAGGTGCAAAGGATTTTTACTTTTACTCAGGTTGGAGGAATATATAAAATGCTATTAGTGGAAACGCTCTATGCTCCACAGTTTGTTAGGAGCTAGTGGATATAATCATTTTGTGTTATCATGAGTCCATCACGCCATGTGCAAATCCACTCTGAAAAAAATTATTTTAAGGATAACATCAAGTGGCTGTAGGTTTAGTGTGTCTCAGTGACTTCATACAGTCATGGTAAAGCAGTTCTGTTGGCCCAACATGGGACATGGAGCTTTGTAAACTGATACTCTTTTGTCTGTTAATGCCCCTTCTGTAAAATGTATAATGCAGAAATGTTGGCTTTAAAAATTAAGCTAAAAGGTTATGAAGACTTACAAATTGAGTGGAGGTCCATGTGTGCTGCGATGCTGGTCTCAGGGAACAATAATCCTATGCCGTACATGTTTTTGTCCTGTATAACACCATTTTAAAGTGGGTATTCTTCAGAAGAGAGTCTGCTACACTTATCATACCACCTTAGTCTGAACACCTCCTTTAAGACGTGGAGACCATGTCCTGTGATTACCATTACTGAGCCTTTAACTATTAGGAGCTACCACATTATGGTATGTAAGATATCACACGTTTGTTAGTCTTGGTATATACACAGTCTTGTATTATTTAAGGTGCTGCCATATACAACTCAAGAGAAATCACTCCAAATCCTTATTTCACCTCTGTAAGCCCCAATCGCGAAGCTGTTTGAGAGACAGGCCAGTTCCCAGCTTCCCTTATTATTCTTTAATTGCTGCCACCAGCTCATACAGAAGTTTCTTGATTGAAAAATTCCCAAGGGAACAGGAAAGCCTGTGCCACTGGTTAGAAGGGAAAGTGGTACACAAGAGAAAACTGTGCAAAGATCCTTGGTGGAAGGTAAATCAACAGTGGTCCTGGGGCCACTGTACACTGGCAAAGCACAGCAGGGAATTATGTTCACTTCATGTCTCTAGCAGTGTTTATGTCAACTCCTATCAAAGAATAAAACAACAGGAACATTAGAAAACATGCAGATTTACATGTAGAAGCTGCAAAAATTATTTTGCAGCCATGTCTGGATTATTTTACTGGCATTATTAAATAGATATTTGCCGTTAGTGACAAATAAACTCATTTGTAAATGTAAGAGTTGGTATTTTTGCTTCTAGATAGAAGAGCACAGAGTTTTTCTCAGCAACTAGAATGACAACAGCACTATATGAAAATTTTCCAAGTTTTGTACAGAAATATATAAAGCTTGTCTGTACAACATATTTTACTTGTTGTGATACAGTACCTGATAATTTTTCTTCTTAAATTTATTCACTTTTTTGGTTTTGACCCTAGACTAAATTCTGCTCATTGACTCCACTGGAATCATTCCAGACTGAAATTGCTGTAAATTAAACCTAGTTCTTTCATTCAGTCATGAAAAAATACAAGAAAAAATTTGTTAAACAAAAACTATTTGAAATACCTGAACAACACACTGTTGATAAAAAGAAATTCTCAAATAAATACTCCTGGCTTTACTGAAATATTTTAATTTCTACTATATCAGATGACTCATGTTATTTTCATGAGTAGCACCAACTGTATTATCTTCAGCAGTTACAGGATATGAATCACCTCTAGGCATTTCCCTGGTTGAATATTTACCACTGGATAAATATAGCTAGTCACCAGCAATTTGGAAACCTTCATGAGATGTAAAGTTCCCTACCAAATTAGAACATGACAATAATAAAAGGTTTCATGTTCTTAATTGTTTACTACCTCCTCCTCCCATATTGCTGTCATTTTTCCATTTTACTCTTGTTACTCCCAATTACTAGAAATGCTATAACCTCTGCTTGGCAGGAAGTGACAAGTCTTCATTGCATCCCCTCAGAAAAGTGGAAGTTTTGCCATTTACTTTCATAAAAGCAGAGCTGATTCTAGCTAGCTGTCACTATTGTAAGTTTCTAGTGACATAGTTTTCCTGGAGTTTGGCAGATTACCAATGCATATTTTCATTTTCCCTTTGTGACCAAAACTTCCACAAAGCCAAGCCACTTCCAAACTGTTAAAATCAAACCTCGCCTTCCAATGCAATAAAACTTCATTTTTCAAGGAGAAATTTGAAAGGATTATAACAGTTTCTGTTCATCTTGCAGATCAGTTTCCAAGCATGTCTCAGAATGGATCGTGCAGACCTGCCCAGTACCCTCACTCTGACCTCTCCCCGATTCTGTCTAGCGGAGACTCAGATTTAGCCAGTCCACTTCTCCAAACTAACGTCCACATTGACATCAGCGCCTTAAATCCTGACCTGGTCAAAGAGGTGCAGCATGTGGTTATTGGTGCTGACAGCCTGATAGTGCACTTCAGCGAAGTAATAGGAAGAGGTGGGTACTGCTCTTCTTTTTGCACACCCATTCATTATAAACCATTTTGAATAAGGTGTCTGCATAGAGGTTTTTCAAGCTTTTTAACTCTTATAGCACTGCATCCCACACACTGAAACAAGGGGGAACCAAGGGGTTCCCCCTTTAAAGTCAGATGAGGAGTGTGCATTTTATCAGTTGGAGAAGACATCATGAGGAGGAAGGAGTCTGCCAATTAATGGGGCTCCTTTGAACTCAGAAACTTGCTGGTTCCCCCTCAGCAGTCTCTCTCTCACCCTTTTCCAGGCTACAGAAAAGCTCAGCCAGAGCTCCTGATCTATGAGGCTGCAGTGCAGGAGTGAATCTGCCACAGGATATTGCGCAAAGCCTAAGGCACACACCTAAATGGCATGGGATGCCAAGGCGGGGACACAAGTGACCTTAAACTTGGAGTCTGTGATCTGTTGCGATTGCTACATAACACAGGAAACTCTTGTAGTCACTAATGCATTCAGTAAAAGTCCCCGTGGGCCAGGTGAAATGCCCACACCCCTTTCCCTCCACAAGTTTTCCCCAGCTCTGAGGAAGTTGCCGTTTGTTTCCTCCCAGCAAAGGCTCTCCCTTCCCCGTCATTCCTCTCTCATGCCAGCTGCAGGCATGAGATCCCCATTAGGATCCCCCCGAAGGATCCCTGTTAGTCGTTCTTCCACACATGAAACATGGAGATCTTTGAAACTTCATCAGGAATGAGACTCATGTCTCATTTACACGGTGAGGTCTACCAAACATCAGTGCAAGTCTCACCCCGCCCTGCTCCAACACCACAGGTTATAGGTTCTCATTCACTTGCCCTTAGTTTTTTTCCTGATACAGCAAGTCTCCTATTCTTCTAAATTTTTCTCATCACTCCTATTCCTCTACATCTCCGTAAGCAAGTTCCCTTCACCTTTCATAGCCCAAGCCAGAATTTCTGTTAGGGACATTTATTAATCTCTGTACAATTGAGTACTTATTAGTAACCAAAGTACAAACTGTATTTTCCATACTTCTACAGAACATGCATCACAGATCTCATGTTGAGTATAAAAATACTGATAAAAAATTGGCTATAAAGTATATTTTTAATCCCTCTTCTGCAGGAAAAGAGCCACAAATCAGTCAGTCAGTGCGTTTCCCTTCCATGTATTACACTTCATCATCCCCAAAGCAAGGGTGGGCCTTTTTCTTTTTTTTCTTGTTTTGGAAAACTCCAAGTAATTTCCCATTTTTTAATGTTGAAAAATATCAGGAATGACGCCGATATAATTAACAATTTTAAATTTTCTCCTCCATAACTAGAAATGGGCCAAACCCAAAAATATTGTAGACACACCCAATCCAAGCTTTAGGATTTGTGCCCAGGCTCCAAGCAATCTGTGGTTTAATGGGATTTTAGTTACTTCTATAAAACAAACTTAATTTTACCTCAAACCAAAAGCAAAGCCAACTGAGCTCTGACCAGCACTTACGACTGGAACATAGTAGAATTAATCAGGTAGTCTTGTTCTCTGTAGAACTCACACTTAAGCAGAAGAACTATTTTGCTTTCTAACTGCAAATATAAGTATTTTAAAAGTTTCCAGTAAATAGTACATCTGTGAAAGAAAGCCACAATTATGTGTGCATAATTTGATTTGGATAAATTTATGCTCAAACCTAGAGCATAACTTCATTGTTTCCTGAACAGGTCAACCTGACTTCTCAGAGTGGGTTTCTGTAGACTACCCCATTTGCTTCACAGGAAAGCAGAGGATCAGAAGGGATTTCTATGTCCCTGGCAGTTCATTTCACTGCTCAGACCATGAGAAAGAAGGCAAATTTTGCTTACTACCTTTTAGTGACATTTTATGCTTGAAACTAGGCCATAGAAGAGACCACAGACTGCTGCTGAGTGATGTCATCAGTCTGTGATCAGTAGAGCAACTCCCAAACCATCCACAGCCAACACATCACTTTTAATACTCAACATTTTCCATGGAATAGCAGACCTGAGAGACTGTAAGCCCACAATGACCATCCTTTTCACTAAAGAGGCATCAAGTTTGTACAGTCCAGTGGACCACTGGATCTGCATAGGCTTGCAGATCACTGGGAACCACCAATCCAGTGGTCATGTCAGCTCCCTCCTGTCTGCTCCCTGTCCCTTCCAAGTGCCCTCCTTTGACATCTGTCTCACAGGAGATTATGGTGGGAATTGGCTCACGTGGTATTTGTGTGCATACTCATTAGAAGAACATGAAACATTTGTGGTACCAGCCTTGGCATTATTTATACTCTCTGTTTAGGTCAAGAAATACCAATTATATTGCAAATAGAGTTTTCATTTTACATAATGATGGTTTTATGCAATGATGATTTTTTGTAATGGTTTTATGTCTTAGTTAGGAAATACATATTACAAGTGTTGGGAATTGGCCAGAAATGACGTGTGATCACTTTCTTAAAGCATAATTGCTACCCAGTGGAAAATACCAGAAAGATAATTTTACTTCTTAAATCTAATATTGCTTATTTTTTTACACAGGACATTTTGGGTGTGTGTACCATGGGACATTGCTGGATAACGATAGCAGGAAAATTCATTGTGCTGTGAAGTCACTGAATAGTGAGTTACATGTTTAATAGTGAGACATTACTATTAATTACAAAGATAACTGGGTGAACTGATAAATAACAGTGAAGTATACTTTTGCAAACCAAGATTCTTAGTTGCAGCTGAATCAGATTTATCTTTGGAGCAATTCCAATTACTTCAGATTAACACGAGGCATTGCAATATGTTTTTGTATCAAATGAAATGTCCATATATTTCCTCTACAAAGAAAAGAACACTGGAAAATGAGGGAAAGGCAGTGTAATTCTTTTATTCTACTGTCTACTGAAGATTTGGATTTGGAAGTTAAATTGCTAAAGAGTAGGCAAAGCTGCTGGAAGAACAGGAAGAGACTACAACAACATTTATTAAGGGATTTACTCAAGTGTTGTTATTGAATTTTAAGTAATTCATAATAAAAAAAAGAAGAAACAGAATTAAAATCACCAACATAACCTGGTTGTATTGTGGGATGTGGGGAGCACACTTGTAGTCTCTCATTATGGCTTTGTTGTGCAATGACATGCTGTACAGAAATGAACTCTATAGTTTGTTTCCGTTTCTTTTCATTAACTCATTACTGGATTTCTCAGGGATTACAGATCTGGAAGAAGTAGCTCAGTTTCTGAAAGAAGGAATAATCATGAAAGATTTCACTCATCCCAATGTGCTGTCACTCCTGGGAATCTGTTTGCCCAACGAAGGATCCCCATTAGTCGTTCTTCCATACATGAAACATGGAGATCTTCGAAACTTCATCAGGAATGAGACTCATGTAAGTACACGGTGAGGTCTACCAAACAGTAATGCAAGTCTCGCCACGCCCTGCTCCAACACCACAGGTTATAAGCTCTCCTAATTACATTACGTCTGTAACTTGCTGCTGTTTTTACACCTTAACCTTTAGCACTTGCTTAGGCTGGCATCGAGCCCAGCTACAGCACTGCTACTTCCTCCCTTCCCCCTCAAATTCCTCTCTAGAATCTTTCCCAGAAATTATAAGCAATAAATATTTTTCGTTTCTCATCCATAAGCCTCTTTGTAAACAAATGTGTTTATGAGAGCCAAGTCAAGGGGCCCAGTCATCTGCTGGTTTAAACTGGCATATATATCTCTGTTGACTTCAGCACAGCTGTACCAGTCATCACCATCTGCTCTTCCAACTCCTAGGTAAGGGATCTCCATGTCCAACTAGCGTCAGGGTCTGTTTATTATCGATATTTTGTATTCTTGTATTAAGGAAGAGAAACAGGAATTTTTATACAAACTATGAGTACTCTCTTATCAGAGATCTTCCCCATTTCCATTGAAAAACTGCAGATTCCTCAAATGTGCCTCACTGCTTTTTCACAAGTATGAGACCACAGGTCTTGCCTCAGGTAGTGTAAGCCCACGTTATACTGTAGTATTTCACCTATTTCACAGTGCTAGGACAAAGTGACTTCTGAGACAAAAGGATTTTGCCTTGCTCTATGGCAATCAACAATAGCCAGTACAATTAAAAAAAAAAGCATTTTGTCTAATTTTTGGAGGAGTTAAGCTTTCTGAGACAGGGACCTCTTCCCTTTTGAGCTTCTTTCATTTTACAAAGACCAGGGCCCTTATCTGTGAATAGTGCCATGGTCCTTCTGGAAATAAATAGAATGATTAACACAGTTGAACAAGATTGTTCCACAGAAGAAAATTATAAGGAGCAATGTCAACAACACAAAAATCTGTGGGAACTTTACTATTACATAACAAGTCATATGGTTGGATAAAAGATTTACAGGTTTGTGTTTATACTTATCTGATATTTAACATTTTCAGTATTGTCTTACCATGTAGACCAGCAGAAAGAGTTAACAATCATTGTGGAAAATCTTCCTCTGCTAATTGCTAAGTTCCCATTTGCCTTATTTTGTCCTAGACAGGACTCTCTCATTTCTTGGTCATCTCTAGCTGATGAGCTCCAAGTTCATAGTTAGTACCTTCTACTGAGTTACATGTACTCTTAAGTTCACACATGTGAATTCTGTGTGTCAGCTGTGATGCTGTTTCAGCATACTGTTCCACTTCCCAGCCCAGGTTATGCTGCTTATGCTGCAAAATCCACTCTTCTGGAGACTGTCAGCTTTTTTGTTTTCTTATAGTGTGTCTTCTCACTGGAGGTAAGAACTTGACCTAAACTTAAACCAGTTTCATTACAAGCACCAACCTGTCTTGATCATTCTGGTGGCAGGATAGGTGGGGTGTAAAACCTGAAAAGTCACAGCAAAAAGCAGTCTGCTCCTTAAGCTTATGCAATCATTGTATCACAAATGTTTGTATTTTACAGAATCCAACAGTAAAAGATTTAATTGGATTTGGCCTTCAGGTCGCAAAAGGAATGAAATACCTTGCAAGCAAAAAGTTTGTCCATAGAGATTTGGCAGCAAGAAACTGTATGTAAGTACAAACATCTACTTCCAGTCACGTTATCACACTCTTCTGTGTAAGACAGTGAGATAAGAGAAATAAAAGTTTCCGAGATTCTGCTTTTTTTTTAGTCAGAATAGGGTGGTTTTTTCATTGCTCTGTAATTATACTGATGTTTGTCTTGCATACTGATGAGCTACTCATCTTGCTACAGGCTCATTTCTTACACATACGGGTTTCTTGAGTGTGAGAAATAAGAAAGCTGAGGTGAAAGTGTAGCATCTCAAAATCATTGGTTAGCGAGTTTAAAAGGGATCTCCTAAGGGAAGTTAAACTGCTGTTGCCTCAACTTGCTGTGCTTCCACCCAACCTCTTCAGAAGCAGCATGTCTCTGCTGCCACACCTAACAGGAGGGAGAGGAACACACAGAACTTTGTGAGAAAAACAGGAACACAGAGAAACACCAGTGAGACCTCTTGACAGTAGCCTTTCATTACATGAGTATGAGCTTACTTTGACTCAACTACACACACAAATTAACATTCAAAGAATCTTACTAGTGTCTGGGTAGCCAGACAGTTCAGTTCGCACAAAGACTAACTGATCCAGGAGCTGCCGATACGATTATGCTGATTTATCACCAATGTTGTGAATTAATGAGGTACAGGATTAAACATTAGAGTTTATTTTTAGTATGTCATAAACTGGAACTCTGGCTGCAAAAAGGTCATTAACCTGTGACATCAGATTTTTTATTCTTTTTTCAAAGGGTGCACACTTGTGCAGTGGAACAGCCTCTGAAAAAGAACATTTTCTTACAAGTGCTGGATTTTTTAAGGGAGGAAAAAAGCCACAAGCAACATAATTTTCAGGTTTCCTAAGAAGAAATTATTTGTATTACTAGATGAAAGTCCTAGTTCATCTAATCAAAGTCCAAATAGTGGCAACAGGACATTCCCTCTGGCCTATGTCTCTTCCTTGGGTGAGGAGGGAACAGCTATCAGGGTGTCTCACATGACCACTGAATGGCGCTTTTGTACTTCTATGTAGCTTGGCACTTCAGAGCCTGGAAAGCTGCTGCCACAAGAGAACACCCCCTTTCCCCAGTGGCCATGTGCAATCCATCACTCAGAAGCACAGGCCCTGCCACAGTAGTGATGTCTATCAGAAAGGAAGCCAGGATGCAAATATAGTCCCCGTGGACTCTAAACTCTATTCCACTATCCTGGAAGAAGTGCACGAACCTGCTATGGCATAAACTGTGTCCTGTTGACCCATCAGAGTTCCATCCCACTCCCATTACTGGATTTAGTTATAACATCAATAAATGCAGCAGATGGTTATGTTCCATTCAGAGGGACTTCAACAGACTAGAGGTGTCCAGACAGAAACCTCATAAATTTAAGACAGGAGAATGCCTTGTGTAGACCCTGAGAGATGGGAACATTTAGCATAGAGAAAATTCAGAGGGATCTTATCCATATGTATAAATATGTGATATGGTAGACTGAAGATCTAAGTGGTGCCCCGGGACAGGCCAAGAGGCAGCAGGCACAAATCAAAATAGAGAAAATTGCATTTAAACATAGGAAGAAATGCCTTTATTGCAAGGATGCCTGAACACTGGCACAAGTTGCCCAGAGAGGTTGTGGAGTCTCAATCTGTGCTGATATTCAAAACCCAAATGGTCGTGATCCTGAGCAACCTGCAGTCCCTGACCCTGTTTTGAGCAGGGGAGGTCATGGTGAACTAGATGCTCTTCAGGGATCCGTTCCAACCTCACCCATTCTCTGATTGTGTGATTCTGTAAAGAAGCCCAAAAGCAAGTGTTTGCTGTGGCTAGGTCTGCACATGTAATAATGGATAGGTTTAAGCATGCAAACACCCATGCTCTATCCATTTTTTGACAATGATACTCATCATCATCATCATCATCATCATCATCATGGCTGGGCTTCACGAACGAAGATTTGAGGAGGGCTCTACCCGCGCTTGTTACAAGCGCGACAATGATACTGCTTACCAGGACAAACACCAACCTTAGGAGAAGCAAAACTAGGGATGTCTTCTGGTAGGGCTGAGGTGTAACCCCAGCAGAACTTTTGTTATGCCATCATTTTCTCCCAATACAGGCAGCAAACACATCTTTAGTTACAGGACTACATTATTGTTTAGAGGCAGTCACTAAGATAATGATGGACCCCTCCTTATCAAAACTGAGAGTAACTAGGAAAGGACATGCCTTGACTTGGAAATAAAAATGAGCTGTTTTTAAGGATACAGAAGAAGAAACAGCAGTGGAAGAAATGATGTAGCACTCAATTAGGATGCATAGGCTATTAGCCAAAATCTTTTTATACAAAGCAATTGTTTTAAGGTAACTGTAAGTCAAATTGTATTATCAAAACAGTATCAGTAATTTCCCAGGTTCATTCACTGTGTTAAATGGGTGTCAAATATACTTTGCTGCACTTTTTGTTTCACTGTTACATTGGTTAATAGATCCAAAATAAAGTACTGCCTTTCAAAGTCAATGCAAGTCACTCATTATAATCAACCATTTCAAAAATGCAAGTCACTCATTATAATCCACCATCACTGTAAATCTTGCCTGCTTAGTTGCAAATAATACCTTTTGTCATTTCTCTAGGTTGGATGAAAAATTCACTGTCAAGGTTGCTGATTTTGGTCTTGCTAGAGATGTCTATGATAAAGAATACTACAGTGTGCACAATAAAACAGGAGCTAAACTGCCAGTGAAATGGATGGCTTTAGAAAGTTTACAAACTCAAAAGTTCACAACAAAGTCAGATGTGGTAATGTACAAACATATTTGTATCACCTATTTGTTTCTTTTATATTGCCTGAGACATCTTTCTAGTATTTAATAAATGAACTAACTCCAAATCAAAACTTATATTTGAATCTAACTTTAGTTCACATAATAATAAAAGACTGTGTACCTCCAGAAAGTGTATTTGTCCCAGTCACAAAACAACAAGTTGTTGACCTGATTATTTTTTACTGCTCAGGAAAGAATTAGTTTAACCCCGTTCCAAGGGAAACTAAGGACATTCCAAGAAGCCAAGTTGGAAATGAACCCACCTATAGGAGGGGCTCTGGAAAGCTTGACAAAACACATTAACTTTGAGACTCATAAATTTACTAGTTCTCAAAAATACTTTACTTGCTTTATAAATATTTACTGACTGCCAACAGCAATCTCAAGTATTACCCGTCCATTTATGAAGAAAAAATTGTTAAGATTAAGTCATTAGTTGGCAGGATCGCTTTTTATTTTAGCTCTCCTTTCAATCCAGATTCAGATTAGCTTATGATGCATAGAATTTTCACCACATATATTGTCCTCAGTATGTATTTACGCAGAGTTAGTCAGATCATCAGCTCATGTAAACTGGCAGAGCTCCATTAACCTCAAAAGAGGTCTGCCAATTTATATCAGCAAAGTAGCAGGCCTATAGGCTTTTATTTTCTTTCATTTACTTAGTTGAGATTCTCTAGTTCTTATTTAAGTGGCTCCTCAAGTCCTTACAGCATTTATTAGCGCACTTAAAAGAAAGCTGAATGCAGTAAAATAACTTTTCAAATGAAAAATCCATGCATTTGAATGCTTAAATCTGTCAAACCATCTTCTAAAACTGGAATGTAAAGCACTCCAACCCTATAACTTACTATTTATTTCTTTGTTTTCTTAGTGGTCCTTTGGTGTGTTGTTATGGGAACTTATGACACGAGGGGCACCACCTTATCCTGATGTAAATTCTTTTGATATAACTGTTTACTTATTACAAGGCAGAAGGCTGCTACAACCTGAATACTGCCCTGATCCACTGTAAGTAAATAGTTTGCAAAGCCTTCTGCAAATGCTGCTGATTCTGATATTGTAGTAATTGAGGCTGTGGGAGGAAAGAGAGGGTTGGGCTTTTTCCTTTTTACATGATTTTGTAATTGCACACTTGTTTTATTTGAATGGCAGGTACGAAGTCATGCTGAAGTGCTGGCATCCAAAACCTGAGATGCGTCCAGCATTTTCTGAACTTGTTTCAAATATATCAACAATCTTCTCCACTTTTGTTGGGGAACACTACGTTCATGTCAATGCTACTTATGTCAACGTGAAGTGCATTGCTCCCTATCCTTCTCTTTTATCATCACAAGACAACATAGATATGGATGTTGACACATGACAGGAATGTCTGAAATAGAGGAAAATCCATTCTTAGTTGTATGAACAAAAAAGCAAAACATTTTGTCCACTAATTTTTACTGCCTGGTCTTTGTGAGAACACTGTTGCACATGTTTATGTTGTTGCCCAAGTTGCACTAGTACAAGGACACAGTATCATACTGTTTAAGGCTATGGGATTCTATAAACCATCACAGTAATTTCCAAGTATTTGGACAACTGCATCAATTTACCAAATGGAAATGTGGTGTGCTACCATACAGAGCTAGTTCCCACAAACTGTCATTAATGTGTGCTCAGACCCAAGAACAAAAATTCATCATTAATGCCATGAAGGAGAAAGTAGAATATCAATCATTATGGCTGGAAGGACTATTACTGTGCATGTCTTTTAGGATGATGAGCAGTGCAGAAATGGTTTTCACACAAAAGGCTAAGGCAAACAATGAAAGTTACAAGATTTTAAAATGTATTTTCCTCCTACATGGTGCAAACTTTGGATTTTTACACTACATCAACAAAGTTTCTAAGAACCTAGGCAGCCAAGAGAGCCAGCCTCATGGTAAGTGTCTTAACAGAAATCAAAATCAAGAAATGGTGTGCAGTAAAATGAGTACAGAGAAGTACAATTGTGTAGGGAGTGGGTGAGGAAGGCCAAGGCAAAACTGGAACTAAACCTAGCATGGGAGGCAAAGAATAACAGGAAGGGTTTCTACAGGTATGTTAATCACAAACAGAAGTTCAAAGAAGGTGTAACCCTCCTGATAAACAACGGTGGCGAACAGGTAACAACGGATGAGGAGAAGGCTGAGGTACTTAACTTTTTTGCCTCAATCTTCAATGGCAACCTCTCTTTCCACACCTCTTGAGCAGATGGACAACAGAATGAGGACAGGGAGGGCAAAGCCACTCCCACTGTAACTGAAGATCAGGTTCATGACCACCTGGGGAACCTAAATGTGGACAAGTCTATGGGACCTGATGACATGCATCTCAGAGTACTGAAGGAATTGGCTAATATAGTTGCCAAGCCACTCTTCACAATATTCAAAAAATCATGGCAGTCAGGTGAAGTCTCAGGTGCCTGCAAAAAGGGAAACACTCTACCCATCTTTAAAAAGGAAAGAAAGGACAACCCTGGGAACTACCAACCTATCAGCCTCCCCTCTGTGCCTGGGAAGATCATGGAACAGATCCTCCTAGAAGCTATGCTAAGGCACATGAAGGACAGAGAGGTGATTTGAGACAGCCAGTATGGCTTCATCAAGGGAAAATCCTGCCTGACCAACCTCGTGGCCTTCTAAGATGGAGTGACTGCATCAGTGGACAAGGGCTACAGATATCATTTACCTGTAATTCTGGAAAGCCTTTGACACAGTCCCCCACAACATCCTTCTCTCCAAACTGGAGAGAGACGGATTTGATGTGTGGACTGTTAGATGGATAAGAAATTGGGTGAGCAGTCACATCCAGAGGTAGTGATCAATGGCTCAGAGTCCTGAGGGACATCAGTGCCGAGTGGTGTCCCTCAGGGGTCTGTATTGGGACCAGTGTTATTTAATATCTTCACTAATGATACAGACGAAGGTATCAAGTGCACCCTCAGCAAATTTGCAGCTGACACCAAGCTGAGGGGTGTCGTTGACACACCTAATGCCATCCAGAGGGACCTGGACAAGCTCAAGAAGTGGGCCCATGGCAATCTCATGATGGTTTAACAAGAGCGAGTGCAAGATGCTGCACGTGGCTCAGGGCAGCCCTCTGTATCAATACAGGCTGGGGGATGAACAGGGGGAGAGCAGCCCTGCCCAGGAGCACTTGGGGTGGATGAGAGGCTGGACATGACCCGGCGATGTGCGCTCACAGCCCAGGAAGCCAATTGTGTCCACGGCTGCATCAAAGGCAGGGCGGGTCGAAGGAGGGCATTCTGCCTCTCTACTCTGCCCTTGTGAGACCCCACCTGGAGTGCTGCATCCAGCTCTGGGGTCCTCGGCAAAGCAAGGACATCAACCAAGTCTAGAGAAGGCCACCAAGATGATTAGAGGGATGAACCACCTCTCCTGTGAGGAAAGGCTGAGAGAATTGGGATTGTTTAGCCTGGGAAAGAGAAGGGTGACCTAACTGTAGTGTGCCACTACCTAAAGGGAACTTATAGGAAAGATGGGCCAAGACTTTTTACCAGGGCATGTACTGACAGGACAAGGGGTTTAAATTGAAAGAGAGTAGGTTTAGATTTTATATTAGGAAAAAATCCTTTACTGTGAGGGTGGTGAGGCACTGGAGGAGGTTGTCCAGGGAAGTTGTGAATGCCCTGTGGCATTCAATGCCAGGTTGAAGGAGGCTCTGAAGAACTTGGTCTAGGTGAAGATGTCCCCCAGCAGGGAGTTTGGAACTAGGTGATCTTCAACGGCCCCTTCCAACCCAAACCATTCTATGTTTTTATATCAGTCTTACCAGTCCTCTGGTGTAGTCAGACGGTACATAAAACAAAGGGACCATCATGTAGCTTAAAGCATTCCTAGTGTCAATGTTACTCCGACGTTCAACTATTTCATTGAGTTGAACAGCGTGTATCAGCAGATCCCTTTCTGAAAAATGCAAAGCCTCCATTTCTTTCAATAAAGAATGAATCACTCTGAGACTAAAAACTTGAAGGCTGCTGTTTGATGAGTCACTTGACAAGCAGATGAAGCTCTGCCACCTAACCTTGGGTAGAGCTGCTGCCACAGGTAAGTAAAGAGTGGAGGTGTTGCCACAGCCCTGACCTAAAAAGACACTGCCATAGCAGGCATATTGATAACTTCTTCATGCCATCCCTGAAGAGCGGAGATGACCAATCAAAAGAAATAACTTTAGGCCCCCTTTACCCTCTTCTTGAATCACACAACCCAGTGAATTATGATACCTACTTTTAATTCTAAATTTTGACCAGAGAAACAATTTTGAAAAGAGACAGTAAATAAAACCTTCATTCATTAGGGAAGAGTACTATAGCTTTAGGGCAAACATCACATGTCATTTCTGTTCCTGTGGAATTCTGTGCATACTACTGTATAGCTTGTTTAGAATAGGATAGAACTGGGTTTGTTGGTGTAAACACATAAAGTAATCTATTTTTATATTAAAAAAAAGTTTATTTTTAATGACATTTACAAAGTTTGGTTAGGCCACAAAATACTGCACTGTGAACATTTCAGAAAATGTAAGTCAATGTACATGATTCATAAATTGTAGCAACCTTAAAAAAATACTATGTAAATAGTAAAAAGGAAAAGAACTGACTGTAAACACACTCCACCCTAAGTACAATATCTCCATTGCTGCAAGCCAACCATTTTAAGATCTTCAAAGAGAGGTAGTGCAGATAAAGAACAGATAAGGGGGATATATTCTTCTTGGGAGCCAGTGTTATAACTGAAGGATTTATAATGAGGGCAGAGTGTGTAGGCAACCTATAAGCAGATAATATTGTATTGTGTTTCATCACCACTTTCGTTTCAGAAATGAACTTTCATGTCTGCTGAGAGAGATACTAATTGTAGATTGCTCAAGGACAAAAGGCTTTGCTGCAGGCAAAAAAAATCATCTCTATGGTTGTTGAAACAGCTAAGGAAGTTTATGACACATAGATTTGGAGAAGTTACTCCAAACTTGTTATGTACATGCTTGAGGAATGCTGCAATGTGAAACAGAGGACATTTTTACTATTTATGAACTTTTGATTAATAAAGTTAATGTTGTGTCTGGGACACCTGTAAGAATATGTGATTCTGGTAAAGATTTGATGTTAGTAAGTTCATATATCTGCAAAGAGCTGAATGGTACTTATGTTTATAGTTGTTGTTACGACCTAATAAATGTTATTAAAATGAATTATTGTAATACTTTATGCTCTGAGTGCTGAAATTACTGTTCATGTTTACTGTTAAGCTTACATGTCTGTATGCTTTTTCTGACTAACATGGGAAGAGCAACCTGTGGAACTGTGGAGTAGAGGGGAAACAACTCAGAAACATAAAAATACAGAGTGCACCAATAAATCAAACACACAGTTCATGAGCCTCCTGCCCATTAATAGGTCAGAGAAAGGTGCAGAGCATTTGTCATCATCAACTATGGCACAGTCTGTTTGATTAGGAAGGCTCTTGCCTAACCACAGGCTACACCCATGCAGAGCTTTAAAATTCCTGATGCACTTAAGAGTTGGGGTGACATTTGAAACTCAGAATTTAGGTATCATAAGGAGTACTTGCGTGGCCCAGCAAGGATGCCAGCGCTTGCATTTAGCATCCAAGTCCCTAATCAGTCATGATCCATGAGAAATTTCAAGGACCTGAACTTATGTCCCTCATGGTCATCCATCTTGTGTTTCATCTCTGCAAGGTGCTTTGTATCTGTGACACCTGGAGAGAAAAGGCATTGCAGTCCCCAGGGACCCTGGTTCTTCTGGGATAAGAGGAGCTAGCCCCACCTTTCTCCCATGCATTTCCTCCCACTTACCTTAGGTGTCTCCTGCTGAATTCACAAATTCACTTTTGTGAAGAGTATTTTAAGTGGGTACCCCACAAACATTGCAACACACACTGTCCTGTGCTACTCTTAACTCAGATGATACTACAAGCTCATTTCTCCAGCATCTTATCTCAGGGGAACTTTCTTACTTAACTCACTCAGAAATACTTTATTGCACAATGTCTCAGCTGATTAAAAAACAGAATTTATATGCTGCTGTCATTTCAAAATATCATGCAAACCCAACATCAAAACACATTTTCTCCAGGCATGTTTACTTCTTAACAAAAAATGTATATGCCCAGTTTCAACTCAAAGTATATTTTGGGGAAAAAGTTTGGACTAGATGATTTTCAGAGGTCCCTTCCAAGTCTAACTATTCTGTGATTCTGTGAAAAAAGGCATTGAAAATAGCAGTTCAGGATGGAAACATTCTGCTGTGTCACAATCCTAATCCATTTTTTATTCTATTATTTACATCTAATGTACTTTCCAATACATTTTGAGGATTTCCCTGAAAAGTCAGTAAAAAATCTCCAAGGTTTTACTGCAGACCGCTATTAATACCAGGGTCTTCAGTCTAAACCAGCATAACACACAGTCAAATGATGGCCTGAACTTAAATACCAGATTTGTAACACATTCCTCTGATTACTTCTCATGATTTCTCAGGGATGGTATATATTGCATTTTTGAAAGGGTCAACAGAATCACAAGCTTCCCATGCTCAATTTTTCATCCTATTAATTTTGTTTATATCAGGTACACACTGCAGCAGATCTGCAGCTGACTTAAACTGGTAGCCTTCCCCCCACAGGAATATTAACAGTGGATGTGGCCAGTGCTCAAAACATTGCAAAACAGGTACCCTACACAAAAGCCAAGAGATTAAAAAAATAGGGAAGGATATCCTCACCCCACAGAAATTTTCCTACTGAATTCACACCTACTTTTTTTAGTGCACTATAACCCACTGAGAGTAATTTGCCTCTATTAAGGAAGATTTTTTATACAACAAACAATATTAAAGGTTTCTAAAATCAAGAAAAATGGTACACTGTACCTCTGGATTGCTAAGTCTTTGCATATTGCTAATTTTCTGTCTCTGTTAAATTCAGTCATGAAGAAGAGACCTACGTGCTTTATATAAATAAGTGATGAGGTTGCAATTTGGGTTACAGTGGCAGAAGCAGTACAGGTGAGCAACTGCAAAAGCACATCAAAATAAATTTTAATCCTAAACATGAAACTCTTCCTTCAGAAATTTCATTTCTGGGATTCAGCAGTAACACTATATCACAGGAAAAGGTCACAGTAGATAAATGAAATAGAGATCCTAATGGGTTTTTTACTCACTAAGCCAAACATCTATTCCTGAAAATTCCAATTTCCATTATTTTTAACAAACAGGTCATGAACTGAGTATTCCGAGCATTGAAGAAAGACACAGGAAATCTTAGGATTATGCCAGACCGATTAGGAAAAACATTTACAAGAAATTGTGATCTCACAGACAGCAGGGAGAATTCAGAGCAACTTTATTGACCCAACGGACACCAACCCAGTGGAAATCAGTCTCTCATCTTGAAACTGTGTGCTCTGACACTGAACCTGAATTTGCCTTTTGTAATCCCCATCCTGCTAACACTCCAGGTGTAATCACTTCCAATGAGGATGCCAAAAGACTCTTCTGAGTCCTAATCTTAAGCACTTGCAGCCACTCCATGACCTCCAGGGGACAGAAAAGATTTCTGTTTTGTAAGGAATGCTGCTTCCCTGGCTGCTGTTACTATTAATTTTGGTGCTTTCCTTTCCAGAGTCAGCAGCCTCCTCCCTACACACCATGCCCAGAGAGAGACCCTCAGCAGAAGGTAAATCCTTGCCATAGTCAGCTGGAGGAGACCTCTGGTTTCCATGTGCTTTTCTGTTTCAGTAATAAGTACTTTGCTGCAACCCAGTGCCATTAGGAGGTTCATTAGTATCTGCCAATGTTTTCTCATATTCATTGTGACGATTTAACAGGGAAATCATCCTTGCTCGGGCCTCTGAGGCTCTCTGCATTTCTACAAACACTATGAATTAACACTTGCCAGAGTTCTAATTATCAAGCACACATGGAGACTCTCTCTGGCACAAATGACAGCTGAATATCCTCCTTTAGGATGTGAAAAGTTTTGCCAAAAACTTTAGGGCGCATGACCAAACATGGACACCTCAGCTGCCACGAGGTTGCAGCTCACTGGGGCAGTTGGCATGTTTTGCAAGTGTGATAAAACTGAAAACAAATGCTTAAAATAGGGTTTGAGATTTATTTAGGAAGGAAAAAAGGCCCTCAGATGACAGTGTGACTGTCATCTCTATCATTTGTGTGACTCAATAAAAAATAAAGGCAATTTAAGAAAGACAGTGGAGCTGCAGCTTGTTGGAGCTTATGGTACAGAACTGACGGCAAACACATGGGAAGATGTGACAATACACACACACTAGTAAGCAAGTAGGACATAACAAGGATCGAGTCACATCCAACTCCAATTGCATGTTATTGGTTTCCTTAAGCAAACCTTAGAAGAGGTTACTGCTTCAAGAAGGACAACCATCATTAGATGTTAAAAACACTCTCACTATGTAATTTTTGCACTTTGTAGAGAAATGTAATTATCTGAATAGCTTCTTCATTCATTGTCAGTTGGAAATTGAAATTACCTGGTCTATTAAATCACTAGCCATGCCTATGTGATATATCTGCCACCTGGCCACAAGAACAGTAACAGTATTGAAGTACTTCCCTCAAAGATCAACAGCTCAATAATTGCAAAAATGCTCCAGAACTGCTTGTGTCCTCTATACACTCCTGAACACCAAATTGTTGCAGCTATTGGCAGAACTTTTGAACAGAAGATCTGAATCAGATGGAAAGAGGGTAAAAGTTTGTCAGACCCAGGCAGTTCTCATGAATCATGTCACTGAAGTGATGAAAACACCTCATTGACAAGTGTAACCTGGGCTGCTGCATGAAATGCAAGTAAATAAAGAGCATCTATGGCAGGACTATGTCCACTTCTTTTTGTTAAATATTAAGTTTACTCAAAAATATCCTGAAAAAATATCTGTGCATCTGCAACAACAATAAAATATATTTGCTAGGCATCTTGATACCAATTTATAGCAGCATGGTTTTCTTAAGACCATCACAAAAATACAAAGTAAATTATTTTAAAATGTGTTTAAATCTATGTCTAGGAGCGCGAATTGCTTCAAAATGTATCTGCCAGCCCATTTGGATAAATAAAGGGAATTTTTTTCTGTTAACCATTCTGAGCATCTTAAAATGAGTTTCGTTTCTTCTGAAAGTTTGAGTCAAGGGAAACTGATTTTGGATTATTTGGCAGAAACTAGATTTCTCTGCAGTACTTGAGGGTTCTTTTGTCTAACAGGACTGATTTACCAAGTACTTCATTCTTTTTCTTGTCTCTAGTATCTTCACATTACCAGAAAGCATCACGATATGGAGGTTCTGTGTGCAAATATCTACCCAATATTATTTTCTGCAGACAATCCTTAATAGGAAGATAAAATCTGGATGGTGATGAACAATATAAACAAATATTATTACTGTGCTGAATAAATCATTAACACAGCACTTTTCTCATGCCCCTCTTCCACAGTCCTTATAGTACTTACCATGGCTGCATTAAAATTTATATAGTTGTATATTTTACTGCATAAAACCTTGAATGGTGTTAAAATAGTAACTTCATTACAGAGAAAGTGGTGTCCATGAAGGTTAATGGCTTATACTGAAAGCCAATAACAAATGTCTTTCCTTAATGAAATGCTCAGTTTAGATCATATTTGTCATACTGTGCTTATGCACTAATCTGCCAAGCAGATTGTATAAAACAGACTCACGACCCATTCATAAAGTAAAACACAGAGGAGCAAATACACTCTGGTATTTTCAATCTGAATTTAAACTAATGAGGTCTCATTTCAGTGAAAAAAAAACAAAGCAAAACAAAAAAAAAAAAAAAAAAAAAAAAAAACAAAACACCAAAAAACTAAAAAACCCCAACCCACCTGAATGAGAATATAGAAACTTTGTCTACCATTTATACATTCAGCCACAATCAGGAAATTAGAGACTGCATGGAGATCAAAAGATTTTACTGTTCAAGGAACCCAACACTATTTTCTACAACTTTCACGTCACTCCTCCCCATCCCCCATACTGAGCTATATACTACCCCTAATAGCTAGGTCTAATTTTATGAGGAGCATTTCTGAAAGCTGGAAGAGCTTTCTCTGGAAAGAAGCCATCTGTTTGAAGTGCTCAGCTCCAAGATCTGAAATGCTTCCCAGTGTTTTTTCGCTTCCCAG